TCCTCCACCTCCCTGCTCCTCCTCCTCCCTCCTCCTCCTCATCCTCGTCCCTCCTCCTCGTCCCTCCTCCTCCTCCTTCTCCCTCCTCCTTCCTCCTCCTCCTCCTTCAATTTCTTCTTCCTCTTCCTTGTCCTCCTTCCCCTTCTTCTTCATTTTTTTTGCATACATCACTCCTTGTCATCCCCCCGAGGGTTTCATTTAAAGGTGGGGAAACAGACTTGAAGAAGTAGAATCACTTGCCACAAATCTAACCTGGTTCATTCGAAGGACTATGGAAGATGACTCACATTCCCACATACGCACCCACACACGTACAAGGTTTGTGGGACCTGTAGGTCAGCGGGGTCATTTCGAGGTGAGGGTCCTGGATTAAAGTAAGAGTGAGGAGCAATGGCTCTTAAAATGTGGTCCCTGGACCACCTCCAGCTGCAGCAGCATCATGGGAACTAGAAATGCGTGTTCTCAGGCCCTTTCCATAAGTCCCAGCCAACTTTTAGCAAGCCCTCCGAGTGAGTTTGATCCATCCAAGGTTGAGCCCTGGCTGATTGTTCGGATGATTGCTTCAATTGAATTCAGCTCTGTAATCTCAACCTGAGCTTCCTCATCTGTGGGATGAAAATAACCCTCCTTCCCACACTGGGTACTTGTGAGGATTCGGGGAGTATTAACAAATAGGCAGCATCTGGCCTGGTGCCTGGCACAGTGCACGCTCACCCAGCACGTTGTAGCTAAACTTCAAATGTGTGATCCCCGGGGCTGAAAGTTTGGCAACACTTCGTTGGTGATCTTGCTGGGGAACATGCGAGTGCATGACTGCAGGTGGGTGTGCAAGGTGCTATGATTGTTCTGCATGACGGTTTGGCAGTATCTATCAAAACTTACAAAAGCACATGCCCTCTTTTAAGCAATTCCACTGCTAAGAATTAATCCCACTGATGAACACAGTCGGGTCCATGGAAGGCCTGGCTACTCCCAGGGGCGCCATATGGATGCAAGGTGTCAGGCAGAAGTTGGAGGAAGGGGGAGGTTGGAGGGTGTTTCCAGAGAAATTGCTAGGCAGGAAAAAAAGAAAGTATACTCTACTGTGGGGTAATCCAAAATACAAGAACACATTTTCCCTTGGGAACTTTTGAAAATTCTGATTTGGATTCTTGAAAGATAGATAAATGGATTAATAGCAGCTG